CCTAGACCCTCAGAGTCTAGATGGGAATTCCCAGCGTGATTTACAAAGGCGGGTGAGAGGAGGGGCCTGGAGACGGAGGGCACAGGACAAGATGCCAATGCAGGCACAGCCAGCACCCTCGGCAGCTGGGGATTCTCTGCACCCTCCTGGTGAGGGGGCTATGATTCAGAGAAGGGACACCAAGCATGTCCACTGCAGAGGTCAGGCTTGCACGGGACAGGAGATAGAGACCAAGGCTGGGGACAGGACCCAGGGAGGCAGCCACAATGGGGCCACATATGAGACTCTCCCTCATGCCCAGAGGAAAAAACAAAGTTTTCTTTCTGTCTACCCCCCACCTCCGTATACCCTTTACCTCTCTGTCCACCTTTTCTTTGTTTACTGAATTTTTTATTTTCTTGTGGTGGTGGTGGGGATCAAGCCCAGGGTTTCACACATGCTAAGCAAGTGCCACACCCTGAGGTACACCACCAGGCCCCTGTCCATCTTCTCCTACTCTCCCCTGCAGCCACACTGGCCTGCTCACACAACTCTACCTCAGGGCCTTTGCACATCCTGCTCCCTCTGCTCTTCCCCTGCCTCCCCCACAGGGCTTGCTCCTTCATTGCCTTCAGACCTTGACTCAGATTGCACCTTTTCAAAGAGGGCTTCTTTGACCTCCCACCGCCACCAGCTCAACTAACTGTGATAGACAAAAGACTTAGGAACCAAATTAACCAAATACTCTGTCAAGACTGGATCCTGCCTCCACAAACCAACAAGACTTTTCTTTTAGACCGTCTGGGGGAAATGGAACAGAGACCCCGTGTTAGACAGTGTCAAGGAATGGCTGGTGATGGGAGGACGCAGTATTGTGCTTACATTTAAATTTAAGTTTTTTTCTTTATCTGTTAAAAACTCATCTTGGCCTACTGTATAAGCAGAACTGCGTGATACTTAGGATGGCTTTAACACAAGAAAACTGTCCCCACCTCGTCCCTGTCATTCTCTCCCTCCTCACCCTGCCTCGTCTTTCCTTGAAGCAGCTCTCAGTAGGTGACAGGTTACATTTCTAACTGGGGGCCTGTCCTTGTCCATATCTCTGCACTGGAACGTAAGCTCCATGAGGGTGGGGCTTTGGCTGCATCCCTGGACTTAGAAACCCCTGGTAAAGGACCCTCAGGCAGGGGTCAATGTTGCTTGGAGGCCCCGGGCACTTTTCCCCAGCATAGATGGCCGCCACCCTTCCAGTCCCCACACACGAACCAGGAACACAATGTAGAGAAACCAGGTGTGCAGGTCTGGGATGGATTCCCCAAAACTCCCAGCGTGGGACACGAGGTGCCCAGCCTGACCCTAGAGCTGCAGGACACTGAGGTCCCCAATGAGTCCTCATGAGAACAAAGCACCCTGCCAGGGCAGTGGGGAGAGCCTGCGTCCCTGCCCTCGATGTCCCAGCATGGACAGCTGTGCCTCTCTGGACCTCGCCACCCCCATCCCTCTCTGCAGACAGCCCTGCCGGCCTCCAGGAGGCTTAGAGAGAAGACGTTAAGAAGGGTGCTGCCTCCCAGCCCCTCCAACGAGGGAACTGCCTCCCTGAAGGGCTTGTGCTCCAGCGGTGGAGGGGGCTCCAGGCTCCCCCAGACCTGCCCACCCCTTGCATTAGTCGCTTCCAAGAGACCCTTGCCCACCATGACTTTAAAATCCTGCAATCTTTACGATCCCTGGCCTCCGCCGGCCAGCAACATCCCAGGGAGCTTTGCCTCGCTCTACAGTAAAAGCAGCAGGAACTCCCAGGTCCCTTGGAGCAGGAAGAAAAGTGGATTCAAAGCGAGGGCTGCCCTCATTTTGTTGAAAGCGAAGCCCAGATAAGACTCGAGCCAGGCCGGCAGCCCAAAGCGGGTCAAGTCAACTGGAGACACATGGCCACCGCGCACCCTACTCCCCAAGCCCAGGCGACACGGAGAGCAGGATTTACTGACTTGCCAAATCGGAGGGTCCAGGGATGCTCCGCTTCCCCGCCAAAACCCAGGGAGCCATTCTGATTGGACAACTCGGAGGCTGGGTCCACCCTGGAGCCAATCGCTGTGGTCCGGGGAGATGCAATGCTCGGATTGGCTCAGGCGGGAGTCAAGTGCTCCTCCCCTGGATTCCGGGAAGTGGCAGGAGCTTTCCCGCTCCCACAGGCACAACCCTCGACCCGCTTCACTGAGGACCTAGAGGCGGGAGCTCTGGCTGGTGACGGGATTATAAATGTCAAGTGCAAAATTGCAAAGCACCAAGCAGGCTCCTGATGGACAGGGGCGTACGAGTGCGCTCAGGTGCGTGCAAACACGCGTGCAGGGTCACAGGTGTGCACACAACAGAAGACTTGGGACAGGAAGTGCCACCATCAGAATGCTCGTGTCCCCCCTAAATTTATGTCGAAACCCTGACCCCACAGCAATGGTATTAAGAGCGGGTGATTAGGTCATGGGGACAGAACTCTAATGGGGGGATTCGTGCCTGAAGAAAGAGGCACCCAGGGACCACGCTTGCCCCTCTGCCGTGTGAGGTTGCAGTGCGAAGACGTTTGAGGCATCATCACCTTGACCTTGAACTTTGCGGCCTCCAGAACTGTGATCAATACATTTCTATTATTTTATAAACCTCCACCAGTCACGCTGCCAGGTCTGCAGGATTTCGTCATAGTGGCTGGAGGGGACTCAGACACAAAGCCACCCTGAGCCGCCCCTTCCCCTTAGGACGCTCAGGCCATTATCCACAAGGCAGCAGCATTGGCCGGACCCTGGACGGGGCTCTTGCCCAGGCTGGGGAGGGACGGGTGGCAGCAGCTGAGCCTGCACCACCCAGTTCTGGGGTCAGAACACTACCTTTGCCTGCGTCTCCCTGTCACCTGGCTTGAAGGCAGGACTGAAGGACCAGATGGAGATGAGGCCCTTGGAGTCCGAGGTGTTGGGACCAACCAGGTGGAGGACAGAGGGGCCTCCACTGCAAGGCGCTGCAGTGGGCGTGGGAGGCTGGGTGTATCTCAAATGTGCACACCTGGTGACCTGGTCTGCAGTGTTCCCGGTGCAGCCCTGGACAAACACAGAGACACCCTGTCCCAGTTACCTCCTTGGAGGCCCTAGAAGGCAGAGGCAGAGAGATAAGAGTCTCCACCTGCACGGCCAGCCTTGCTGCAGCCAATCGTAATGGCTCCTGTCCCTTCTCTGAGCCCTGACCCTTCCTCCCTTCCTCCACATGCCTTGGGTGTCAACCAGGAGGGGCCACACTGGCCCACTGATGTGTGTTATCTGGATGGGGTCAACAGCGCCTTCGGCTTCTTATCTGCATCTCCAGAGACCAGGAGAGGGGCAAGCAGCAGCTGAGGCCTGTCCCAGGGGCACAGCCACAGACATGAGGCAGGCGGGGCCCCCTGGGAGACAGAGCACCTGGGACACAGTGGCAGCAAAGGAAAGGAGGTGGCAGAGCAGTAGGGATTACATACTCTTTACATATCAGGGTTGCCATACAGCTGTGTGACCCAGGCTAAGTGGCTCAACTGCTCTGTGCCTCAGTTTCCTCATTTACAAAAGAGGGATAATGATACTACCCCACCACGAGGATCATTATGAGATAAGATGAAAGGAGTCCACATGTGAATAAATCCTAATTCCTCCCCACCCGGGTTGTGGGAGGAGGGAGGCTTAGGGGACAGGAACAGTAGGCATTTATTGAAAGACTGCCTGTAGCCAACCATAGTGACAGCCCTCCACAGCCTGCTTTACGGAAAGCACACTGAGGCACTCAGGGGCCACCTTTGTGTCACCGTGCAGGTCAGCAGGAGCAGAGTCGGTGCAGGTCCAGCTGCATCCAGCTCCAGAGCTCATAAGGTCTTCTCTGTCCTGGGGAATCCACAAAGTGAACTTTGACCCAGGAAATAGGGCCTGGTTCTGGGGTCTCTGGGGGGCGGCATCCCTGGCAACCACAGGTTAAAGAGAGAATGAGACAGGGAGCCCCACTGGTCACCGCAGGCTCAGACCCTGCTCCTGAGCAAGGACGGGCTTCCTGGTGGAGGAAGTGGTCAGCAGCGGTGAGAAGGCCTCCTACATCACTGAGGGGAAGCCGGAGGCCCAGAGAGGGAGGGCACTTGTCCAAGGTCACACAGCCCACAGGAGGCAGGAGAGGGGGCTGCGGGAGGGGTGGGAGGCGGGCTCTCGGTGGGTCTGGTGGTCCAGACCTCTGAGTTGTCTCCTAGCAGGGCTGCGAGGGGTTAGAAAAGGCTCCTTGGTGCCAAGACCCTGTGGCCCATCTCTGGGGCCTCGGCACTCCCGGCCAGTGAGGGGCCCACAGAGGGGGAGCCCAGGAGAACCCCAAGGGTGCCGGCCTCCTGCCCTGGGCCAGCTGGCCCCGAAGGAGACCCTTTGCTGCCCCCTTGTGGCCACAAGGAAGTGGACTTTCCATCCTGCTTCCTAAGAGGCACCTTGAGGGGCCCTGGGCTCCTGCTCCCCGGGGTCACCTGCGTCCAGACCACCTGGGTTCCTACCCCTTCCCAAAAACCCCGCCTCCACCACCTCCCGCACGGTGAGCCCCCAGCCACATGGAGTGACGTTGGACATTGCAGAGTTTGAACCTGGCTGGGTCCCGTCCCTGCTGTGTCCTTGGGTGACCTCTGTCCACTGCCCTGCTCCATTTTCCCATCTGTAAAGCAGGGGCAGGAATAATGGCTTCTACTTCATAGCACCTCCGAGGAGATGAAGGAAGACGGTGGGTAGAAAGTTCTAGAAGAGTCCCTAGCACGTGATTCACTCAATAGACACTGTCCTCTCCCTCAGATCTGATGAGTGACAATGTCCCTGTCCTTCCTGACCCGGGCCCCCTGAGCCGGCCCTGTAGGTGAGAGGAGCCCTCATAGGACCTGGGCTGGCTGGCTTCCTGTAGCACAGCTGGGTGTGGGCAGTCACCTGTCACAGGACAGGATTAGGATTGTCACCGTGCCTCCTTGAGCTAGCGGAAGGAGAAAGACGGGATCCACAGGAGATGGCAAACTTGGCCCAGAGGGCTTTATTGGCCGTGGCTGCCAGGAGCCCCAGGAGCAGTTCTGGAGGGCTTTCTGGAGGAGTAGTAGTAGGAGGAGGGCATCTTGAATGTCCAGGAAGCCCCCACAGTCATCCCCTGGAGCAGAGGCCCTGAGCCAGCCACACGTGTCCACAGCCTTCGCGGGCGGGTCTTGGGGACCCTCAGCTTTGGCCCAGCTTGGCTTTCAGAGCCTGCAGCTCTCCACTGTTGATGCCGTTGCCCCCACAAACGATGACCACGACAGAGGCCAGGGGGCCCAGGCGGCCCTCAGCCTGCAGCCTCCCCAGGAGGCCCGAGTAGATGAAGGCCAGGGCTGCACCGCAGGCGGGCTCCACCAGCAAGCGCTCGTCATCTGCGGGGCGGGAGCAGAGGGAGCCGGGCTCAGCTGGCCCCTGGCTCCACGGGCCACCCGGCCACCTTCTCACAATCTGTCACTGGCCTGACCCTCTCTCAGGAGTCACCCCACCATTTCTCTCTCCAGCCGTCCACTTCTCCATTCATCACTAGCCTGTCTGTCCATCCGTCACGGTGGCCATCCATCAACGTATTCATCCATCCGTCTCCTTTCCATCATTCGGTTGTCTGTCTGTCCATCCATCAACATGTCTATTCATCATTGTGCCCGTCCATCCGTCCATCCATCCATCCGTCCGACTCCACATCAAGCATCAGTCTCGCCCATGGCTGTCCCGCCCACTCTCCATCCCTGCCCCGCCCACTCTCCATGCCCCCCTCCCTCCCATCCCTTCAGCCAGCAGATCCCCGCGGGGCCCACTGCTGGAGCCTGTGCTGGAAGGACCCCAGGGGACACCACCCGGCCCCGCCCTCGTGAAGCTGGCCGTCTGGTGGCGACAGATGGGAACCAGCCGGGATGCACCGAGGGGCTGGTGCACAGGAGGTCCCCAGCCTGGGCACTGTGGCGGAGACCTGGGGGCTTCCTACAGGAGGTGCCACGGTGACTCAGTCACTAGCCCTCTGTCCTGGGAAACGGATAGCAGGCAGGGCCAGGGATGGATGCAGAGGCAGGGACGCCCTCCTCCACCCGCCCCACCTGCTCCAGGGCCCCAAGCACAACTGCCCACGCCCTGCCCGGGTCGGGCGCTGAGAGCACCTCAGCCAGTGCACTGGGGACTTGCTGGGTCCCGGGCCAGCGGGGCCGTGCCACTCACCCAGGAACCGCTGCACAGCGCTCACGGCCTCCGCATCGTCCACCACCTCAGACAGGACCCTGCACTCCCGCGTGCACTCCAGGGCCCGCGCCGCCACCGTCTTGGCGCCCAGGCTCTTGGCCACACTGCAGGAGGCAGGCAGGTCAGGGAGGGCAGGGAGCTGGGGGAGCTGGTCCCCACGGGCCCACACCCTGCGAAGACTATGCCCCCTGTCCAGAGCCCCCCGGGGCACCAGACTCCTGGACCCTGAGAATGACCAGTGTGGCAGCAGTCACCCTGACCCTTCCACCCGGGGACGCCTGGACACAAGAAGTTCACTGTCTGTAACTGTGGGGCACACAGACAGGAGGCAAAGCCCCAGGGAGCACGTCCCCCTTTGGGGACAGGACCGCCGGCCACTTGGTTGTCCGGGGCAGCTTGGTGTCTTCATTTCCTAACTGCCCTGCATCTGGCTCAACCTGCTCTTCAATGGAGCCGATCAAGGAGGACTTGCTCTATTAGTGGGTGAGGCTTGGGGGACCCCACCCTTCCTCTGCTGCTCAGCGCTTCCCAATCAGACCCTCAGTACCGTGCCTGGGGGACAAGGAGACCCCTTTTGGGCCTTGTCCACCCTGCTGGCTGGGGCAGGAGGCGCTGGGCACAACAGCCCGCCCACGGCCCCCTCCAGCGCCTGGCAGGGGCTCACCTGGTGATGTCCGGCAGCGTGACCAGCTTGCCTGCCTCCACGGCGGCGTTGAAGCTGTGCGCCCCTCGGGTCTCCATGGCGATGATGGGCACGTGCTGCCAGCCCACCTCCACCAGGCCGGCCACCACCCCTGCCAGGAGTCCCCCGCCGCCCACTGCCAGGACCACGGCACCTGGCGGGGTCCCCAGGGTGGCCTTCAGCTCCCGCACCAGGCTGGCGTTGCCTTCCCTGGAGAGAGGAGTTGGGGGGGACACCACAGGTTCCTGGATGGGGTGGGCTGGGCTCCCTGCCCCCACATATGCACAAATCCCTCTCTGTCCCCTTCCCACAGCCAGCAGGCAGGAGAGTCCCTGTGGGGGCCCATCGTCCCCTGCATTCCTTCCTTCAGTCACCCCCACCACCACCTCCCAGGCACTTTCCTGGACATGACCCCAATGAGTCCCCCAACAATTTTGGTAAGAGGCAAAATGTTAGTGCACATGGTTGAGGGGACGGGCCTGTCACTTGGACTCAGCTGACTGAAGTTGTGGGGCTAGTACTGGCTGTGTGATCTTGGGCAAGTTGCCTAACCCCTCTGTGCCTCCGTGGTCTGGCCTGTGAAATGGTTTTAACAACAGTGCACCCAAGGGCTTTGGGGAGGATACACAGGAGGGCACAGGGAAGGCCCTTAGCCTGGGGTGGGCCCCAAAGCCCTTGCTCCGTCTGTCAGGGGGACTTAGCGTCACCATTTCCGTCTTACAGATCTGGATCCTGGGGCGCAGGGAGGTGGGTTGCTATGTAGTCACAGGGTCTCCGAGCAGCAGAGGCAGGGCCTGGACCCCCTCTGTCCACTGTGGAAGCGTCCTTCCCCCCGGGCCTTGCTTTCCCTTCTGTCCAGGGCAGGACCTGACTTGGTGAGGGTCTCCCGTGCTGGGCCTCCTCTTACCATATCAGAGGGTGGTCAAACGGGGGGACGTTCACCCAGCCATCCCTCTTGGCCAACTCCTGTGCCCTCAGATTGGCATCATCCCAGATCTGAGGAGAAGCAGAGGGGACCCTCAGAAGCCCCAGGTGCCGGCTCCGCAGAGACCAGAGCAGGTGCCAAGGCTCCCAGACGCCCAGATCCAGGGCCTCACCTCTGTCCCCTTTCTCCGCAGAGAAGACTCATATTTCTCCTTCAAGACCCAACTGAGGGGACCCTTCTGGGGGGGCTTTCCGGGTCCCCCTCCCCAAGTCTGAGGCGCACCCTGCTGGGCTGCGGCCCGTGTCCAGGACCCCACTGCTCCTGCGTCACAGGTGCGTGCCTGTGGCCGAGCCCACCCGGCCTCTTGACGCTGGTATCCACTGGGACTTGCTCTGGTCAGTGGCCAGTGGCAGGATGCACAGCGTGGGCTCTGAGCAAAGGTCTGAAGGGACGTCACATGTTCCATCTGAGACCCTCTGGCCATGGCCGTGAGGAGAGGGTGCTGCCTCTGCCGGACGACCTGCCTCTGCCCCGTGGTGCAGCAGGGGACGCCGCCTCCGCGAGCCCAGGGAGGGCAGTGGAGCCTCTGCCCAGCGTGGGCTTGGGCTTGGGCCACACGGCCCCTTCCAGCAGCAGCTGCTGCCTCCCCTGGGGCCTGGGCTTCATGGCACCACCAACCTGGCTGTCTCCCGCTGGACACCTGCATCTCCCAACACACGCCAGTGCCCGAGCAGAGCCCACAGGGTCCTGGACCCCTGATACGGCAGGCCCAGGCAGGCACAGGCACAGGGGACATAGGATGGCCGGGAGGGGCGGGTACAGGATGAGCGGGTGGATGAGTGGGCGGGTGGGTGATGGATTGATGGATGGGTGGGGTGGCTGGCTGGATGGGTGGATGAGTCCATGAGTAGGTGGGAGGCCCCAGAGGGAGAGAGGGAGGTGAGAAGCTACTTAATGGAAGGATGGCTAGATTGATGGGGTCACCCAGAGGAGGTGTTTTGAGGACAAGGAGAGGCGAGTGGGGTCCTGGCCCTCAGTGCACAATACCCCCCTCTCTCCCTCCTCAGCTCAGCCGTCCTGAGAGACGACCTAGGAGGTGACTCCCCCAGGGGTAGGAGGGGTGGGGACGTCCCCGTGGCTGCTGTCCTCCCTGGGTCCTCACCTTTCCAGCCAGCTGCACCTCGGCCCCCTGTCCCTGCAGCCTCGTCACCACCTGCAGGGAAGTGGTCTCGGGGAGCACGATGGTGGCCGGGATGCCAAGCTTCCGAGCAGAGTAAGCGGCAGCGATGCCCGCGTTGCCCCCTGGGGTCAGAGAAGGGGTGACATGTGCAGAGCGGCCTGGGCCTGTTGACACCCCCAGCTCTCCCTCCACCCCCTTGGGAGTCACACTTATGCCCCCCACTGACTCGTCCCCTGGCTGCAGAGGTGGACACCTGATCTAAACTGAGCCAATCGGAGAACTTGACCTCTCGACCCACGACTGGCTTAGGGATGAGTAGTGACCCAGGCTGGGCCACAAAGAGGAATTCTAAGGCTGCGGAGAAGTTTTTCTCTTCATTCTAGTCAGGAGATAGCAGGACAGCAGGTCCCTCCGGCAGACATCTTGCTGTCGTGAGGCCTGGGTAAGATGGAGGTAGAGGAGAGAAAGAAATAGGAAAGGAAGGACCGCAGAAGAGACGGCCTGGATCCAGCTGAGCCTGAAAGCCACACAGCCTGAGGATTTTCAGTTCTTGGAACCTGTAGCTTAAACTTGGTGCTACCACCCTGAGTCCCCGATTCTGAGAAGAAGCCCAGGAGAGGACATAAGAGATGGCTGCCTGAGATTTGACCCTGATAAGGAGGCCAAGCCCTGGACATCTACAGCCACCCCAGACAGGTTCTCCTCCCCAGCCCTGCCTGGAGGACCCCCACAAAGCAGAAAGGGGTGGGGTCACCTGAGGAGCACACCAGGTGTTTGCACCCGCTCTTGGCCATCTGGGGAGAGAAGGAATGGCGTCAGGGGCTAGCCCAGGCAGGCGGCCTTGAGGCCAGTGCAGGGCAGCTGGACGCGCCCCCTCCACCCACACGCCCTCACCTGCTGGCAGAAGTGCCCGATGCCCCGGATCTTGAAGGAGCCGGCCGGCTGCATGTTGTCACACTTGAGGAGGACCTTCACGCCCGCCTCCCGGGACAGCGCCCAGCTCTCCAGCAGAGGAGTGGTCGTGTGGAAGTGGCCAGTCGGGGCGCCCTCCATCCCAGCCACCAGGGAGACGGCCCTGCAGGGGCACACAGTCCTCAGGGCTCCAGGCAAGAGGCGGGGAGGCTGAGGCCCTGGGCCTGGGCACCCTGAGCCCCGCTGGCTGCCGAGCTGGGAGACCCCAGGCAAGCGCCTGCCCCTCTCTGGGCTTCAGCCTCCCCTCTGCCCAGGAGGCCTGATCGGGCAGGATGTGACCCCTCATGACGAATGAGTTCATCCAAGTTCCCTTGGGACACTGAGCACCTACAACGCGTCGGGCAGAGGTCAGACCTCGCTGTCCAGGTGGGCAGTCGGAATCACAGGAGTCCACACAGGAAGGAGCGACCCCTGGGGGTCCAGTGGCATCCAGAACTGGGTTGTGACCCCTTGTGGCCATCACATGGCCTCAGTGAGCGAGGACACAAGGCCTGCACCCTCATCCCTGTCCCTCCTGCTTCCTGGATTCTTATTTTCTCCATTATTGTTATGACCATTATTCCCCCGATTATCACATCCGGAAACATGTCAGCATGTGTCCCTAAAAGCACTTTTAAAAAAAGTACATGGTTTCACCACTGTATACATTTGTCCAAACTTATTGCACTCCATACTTAGAGTGAGATGATTTGATTTTATGTAAATTATGTCCAATGGTGCTACTTTTAAAAAGCAAGATGGTGTAGCTCATGCCTGCTATCCCACCTACTTGGGAGGCTGAGGCAGGAGGATGGAAAGTTTGAGGCCAGCCTCGGCAACTTAGGGAGACCCTGTCTCAAAATAAAACAAAAAGGGCTGGGGGTGTGGCTCGGGGATAGAGTGCCCCTGGGTTCAATCCCCAGGGCTGCGAAAATTTTAAGAATTAAAAAGAAACAAAGGAAATTCTAAGCATCTCATTATATGTGACCGCTGCTTGGTTTCATGGCTGGTCGAGGGATTTAAAGGTTTAATTTCTAAATTTTTCTTTGTCACCTGCTCTGGCAGGGCTGGGGTGAAGCGGGAGTGGGGGGGTGGAGTGGCTGAGACTAGATCAGCCTCCTCCCCAGGGGCCGGACTCCACCTAGAGGGCGAGACCTTGAACTCTGTTCTGACCCATAGGTCGTCACAGGGGGGCTTCGGGAGGGATGACAGAGGGGACCACGGGGAGAGCATTTCTGCAGAGGGACAAGGTCTGGAGCAGGTGGGCGGATGGGCAGGGAAGGAACAGGCCCCGGGAGGACCCTGCTCCACGGTGGCCACCAGGGGGCGCGCCACACCCTACACAGCCCGACTTGGGGTCCACGTTTAGTCTCCAAAGGCCGCAGAGCAGAGAGGACCAGGTTTCCTGGCACTTCATCTGACCCTGTGCCCTTGGCACCTCCTTACCCTCCCCACCCCCGCCCCACAAGGCAGGGCGAAGTCCAAGCCTCTCCACATCCTCACCCCAATTCTGGAGCCCAAAAGCCTGGGGTTTAGGATCAAAGTTAGAAACCAGCTCTGAGTTCCTTGGCTGTGTGACCCAGGCAAGTGTCTTGAGCTCTCTGTGCCTGTTTCCCCTTCCGTCAAATGGAGATAAATACAGTCCCCAATTCTCAGCCTGTGGTGTGCGTGAATAAGGATAACAGCTACCAGAGGTCAGGTGGCAGACAGTGGCCGGGTTCTCTGGGGTATTAGCTCACTGGGGCCTTTTAACAATGCCAGCACACTCACCCTTACTCTATCCTGTCTCTAAAGCACCCACAAGGTGCAGGCCTTGACCCAGGAACTGGGGACAGCACAGTGAAGCAGGCAGGCGTCCACTTCAGAGCTGACTGAGCGTCTGATGAGGAGAACAGCATGCAACAAATAACAGCACAGACAAACAAAATGATCAGAAATGGTGGAAACTGCCGCGTGCGGAAACACAGGTAGGTAGTTGTGAATAAAGATCAAGGGGACCTGTTTTGGGTGTGCAGGCCAGGAAAGACCTGCAGGAGGTGGGACGTGACACTAAGACCTGGAAAGCGAGAGCAAACTGGCCATACCACAGGCGAGAGGAGCTGTGTGTCCCAGGGTGGTGGCAGGATTGAGCCAGGCCGTGTGCTGACGGTGCAGACTTTGGCCCGACAGCCGCGAGGACTTGCTGGGAGCCGGGCACTCTGCCAGGCACCCTATGTCTCCTCTTATCTGACGCTCAGACAGCACCGAGGCCATTTACTAGCCCATGAGGCCCAAAGGGGTCACCTCCAAGGTCACACAGCTGTGAAGGTCATCCAGCTAGGAAGTGTGGGCTGCGTCCGCTGCTTGTCCCCTGCTTGTTAGCGTGGCCACGATGAAGGGTGTGGGCATCTGATACATAACTGCCAACTTCTTCAGGCGTCAAGTGCCCCCAGCTCGGTCCCCACGCGTCTCCAGCCCCCTTCGTTATAGCAACCATCCCCCCAGAGACAGCAGGCATCAGTTAAAGGCCGGCAGCCTTATCAAGGCCAGGTTGGTCCCTTAGGGCTAGGCGGACTGAGGCCTTGGCCCAGGGACATGCAGTGCTTGCCAGAGTGGCAGCCACCAGGACTCAGGTGGCAGCCTGTCCCTTCTCACGGGCCTCATGGTCTCCCGTGAACTGGGGTAAGGGGCCCTCGCTTTCCATGCCTTGACCCTGAGGGCTACCTGGGTGGCCCTCCACAGTCGAATCCCTGCGGAGCCTGGGGCCGGTCCCTGGCGGGGTGCCCAGCCCTGCCCTCTGGCCAGCAGGACCTTCTGCAGACCCAGGGTCCCCTGCAGGGCACCCTGAGCGGACGCACGTCCCCAGGGAGGGCTCAGACCTTGCTGCTCCCTCTGCCCGTCCACCCAGCTGACCTTGGCCCCCGACCAGGAACCCCCAACTCACACGCTACCCCGGGGCCCCAGCAACACTGCTGCTCCCGGCTCCTCACCTACCTGAGCTGTCCCCAAGCTGGGCCCTGGCTGCTGCCAGCCAGCCCCTCCCTGGCCCTGGCCCCGCCTCCTGTGTTAAAGGGGCAGCTCCCGCCCAAGGCTGCCTGGGACGGAGGCAGAAAGCAGGGGAGGTTGAGGCTCACAGCCGCCCCAGCCTCCCCGTGTGCATTTCCCCTGTCAGATGGAGGAGCAAAGGGAGGCTCAGAGAGGGACACTCACTTGGCCGTGGATGCCCAGCTAGCGAGGGGCAGAGATGCTAGACCCCCTCCCGTGAGAGACTTCTCCCAATCTCCCTCCGAGCCCTGGGCTCATCCCAGGCCAAACCCCTTCCCTTGAAACGTGAAAGCAGGGACAAGGAGGTAACCGTCATCTGTCATGTGAGAGGGGCTCGGAGACTTCACACCCAACTCTGGGGCCCAGTTACTGCTCAAATGAGCGGCTGACCACTGATCCATTCACTCAATAAATATTTATTGGACACCTACTATGTGCCAATCCCTGGGACCTTTAGCCTCAAACAAGATAAGGTGTCCCCTGTCGTCACAGCACCTTTGGGTGCCACAAAAGAGGAATTGTCGTCTCTGCTAGGGATGGGGACAGCTGGGAAGTGAGTGGGGCTGCGGAGCCCAGAGCAGGGGACCTGCCTGGAGGAGAAGGCAGGGACTGAGCAGCAAGTGGCCTGGGGACAATGGACGGGGCAGAAGCCACAGGGATGTCTGAGCCAGTGACAGGGCACCTCAACCTTGCCCAGGGGCACTGGGGAGTCACGGAGGGCGTTAGGCCTGTAGGTGACTGGGTCTGATTGACATCTCCATTGCCACCTCCCTGGTGAACCCGAGCCACGCACACACGCCTGAGCCTCAGTTTCCCTGTTTGTAAAGTCGAGATCCCAGGAGGACCCAGTGTTCTGTGTCCCCCCTGGACCATGTGTGACCTCCCGGGGTTGAGGACCAGCTCCTGGACACGTGGCGTCAAGTGGCGCTGTCTAGAGGTAGCCGCCCGCCATGAGGACTCTGGCGAGTTTCTCCCCAGCCTCACACTGAGCACGCCCCACCCTTGCCAGGTGCCCTGTCCTTGCCAGGTGGTTGAACTAGGGAGAGAGAGGGACACATGATACGTGACAGTCACACCCCAGGAGGTCAGAGGGCAGAGGTTTACCAGAGGGCAGCAGGGGCGAGGGATCTGGGAGGGCCTCCGAGGAGGTCTGCTCCAGCACATGGCTAGGGCTTAGATAGGAAGCACAGCTACACTTATTTCATGCCTACTGTATACCAGCCCTTTTATACTGACTAGCGGAAATAGCTTTTAAATAGTTGGAGATTTTTAAATAGTTGGGGGTTTACTTCTGTGTGCATTAGGAGACATATACACTGTGTGTGTGTGTGTGTGTAATACCAAACCCATAATTTTGTGGATATTAATGCTTAGGGAGAAGTGAGGTGTTAAAATGTTTAAATGCAATCTCTTTAAAGTATTAAGCATAGAAGAATGTCCAGTGTGGCGGTGTGCCGAGGCGTTAGATCGAAGACCCCAGAGCCAGGCCATGGTACAAGCATAGCTCTGCTGTTTCCTGGCTGTGTGACCTCAGGCAAGTCACCTGACCTCTCTGTGCCTTGATTTCCCAGCTGTAAGATGGGGATAGAAATAATCCTTTCCTATGAGAGCTGATGGGAGGGTCAATGAGCAAATGTCTGTGAAGCCTTAAGAGAAGTGGCCGGTGCTCGGGGTTGGGTGTTCTTGCTGCTCTTTGCTGTCATTATGACCCCTAGGAAAGAGGTGACGTGACAATATGGCACAGATTGCAAAGGGGGGAATGCCCGAGGTCTGGGAGTGTGGCATCCTTCTGTCACAGAACACTTATGACTACCTGGGGAAGTGGGGACCCCAGGGAACCCTGCATGGAGGAAACAGGCTCAGAGACCCAGGCACTTTCCCAAGGTCACACAGCAGCAGAGCCAGGGCTCAGACCCAGGGGCCGGGGCCAAGCTCCGGCTGCAGTGAGGAGAGGCTGGTGGGGTGGGCCGGGCCACTGGCCATGTTCGCCGCCAGTCCCGTCCCTGACACCTCGGCCTGCCACCCTGGCCTGTCCCCTGGCTACTTATTAAGCTTCATTTCGCCATCCTCCCCTGCAGCTGGCGTTCCCAGGCGGGGTCACTGCGTGGAGAGAGGACGGAGTCTGCACATCGCGATCGTCACCACCAGGGTCGCACTTTTCGCGGGTACCCTGCCTCACGCACCTTCTGAGTTTCACCAAATGACGAAGGAGCAGGCTGTGGGGCGGGGGGCAGGTGACAGCAAGTGGCCCACCTCTCGGCCCCCGTGCATCATGGTGCCCTCCAAGGGCGGCGTCTCCAGCCCTGTTAGAGGAGGCGGTCGCCCCAGCCAGGGGACTCGGCTGGCTGCACTCACAGGCCATGGCTGAGTGGCCCTGTCCTCTGTAGGACAGCCGCCCTGACCCAGCCCGTCCTGACCACTCCCCACGCTGACCCGACACCCAAGGGCCCCTGTTGGCCCTGCCCGGGTTAGAACAGTTTGAGACCCTGGTGAGGAGGTCTATCTTTCTCTCTCCCTCCCTCCCTCCCTCTAATAAAAGTGAAGCAAAGGGGCAGAGGGTGGCGAGTGAATCTGAGGGTGGTTATTAGGTCATGGAGTTCTGAGCAGTTGCAAGGGGACGTGAAGCTGTGGCGTGGGGTTGCAGGAAGCCGTCATCCAGATCTAGTTAGATCTCAGTCTGTGCCTCCAAGGAGACGGTGGTGATGTGTAATGGGAGGGGGGGGAGAAGGGAAAAGAAGTAGGGGCAGCCGGGACAGTGGCCCGCGCCTGTCAACCCAGCAGTTCGGGAGGCTGAGGCAGGAGGATCCTGAGTTCAAAGCCAGCCTCAGCAGCAGCGAGGCCCTAAACAACTCAGTGAGACCCTGACTCTAAATAGAATACAAAATAGGGCTGGAGTGTGGCTCAGGGGTCGAGTGCCCCTGAGTTCAGTCCCTGGTGCCCCCAAAGGAAAAAAGAGAGAGAGGAAGAGGCAGCTTGTGGCCGCCGTTTCAGATTCTGGGAAAAGCACAAGGAGCTAAGGCGGAGGCCAAGCCCCGCGGGACACCTTGAGTTTGCCTCCCGCCTGCTGCGGAATGGTTGCCCCCTTGTACCAGGAGCACAGCTGGGACTGACCCTGGGCCACCTGGGGTGGGAGCAGACCACCATGGACCCAGCAGCACCCCCACTGCTGCCCTGGTCCCGTGAACACCCCTGACACCCTAAAAGAAGGGAATCCCCCCCATGACACAGATGAAGTATCAGCTTGAAATGACACGAAGCCAGGTCAGGGAGGCCCAGGGAGGTGTGGGATGGCGCAGGTGGTCCGTCCGCGTGGCTGAGACTGGACTCTGCTGAGAAGTCTTGGGCTTTCTTTTTCTTTTTTTGGGGGGTACCAGGGACTGAACCCAGGGACACTCACCCACTGAACCCCACCCCCAGCCCTGTTTTGCATTTTATTTAGAGACAGGGTCTCACTGAGTTGCTTAGGGCCTCGCTGTTGCTGAGGCTGGCTTGGAACTCAGGATCCTCCTGCCTCAGCCTCCTGAGCCGCTGGGATGACAGGATGACAGGCAGGAGCCACCAGCCACCGCACCTAGGGTTGTCAATGAGCTTTGGACAAAAGCCCAGAGAGGGCAGCTGACCGGCTCCCCCTCCCACGTGTCCACCATGCATGACAAGTACCCAGCGGGAGGCTCCGCCTGGCTGCAGGTGCCTGACCTTGGCCGTGGTGGCAGTTTTAGACACAAGGTCCCACCGAGAAGCTGTTTGTCACATTTGGAGATGACGCAAAGCTGAAAGGCCACAGGCAGCACCATCTAATAGGACAAAAAAGGTCCCATTAGGACCCAGTTAGAAAGCTGGACTGTGGCCACAGGTGCACCGTGTCCAAAACAGGGAGACCAGGCTGGGTCGGATCCATTTCACAAAGAAAAAAAAAATGTCATTTAACTTCTCCAGGGGGTTTGGGGGAGTCGCAGTTAGATAAGGAGCAACAGCTTTTTAGGTAGAAGACCTTCTTCCCACAGGGCCCTAAGCAACTGAGCGAGATCCTGCCTCGAAGTTCAAAATGTCAAAGGGCGGGGGAGGCGGCCCAGTGGTCCAGCGCCCCTGGTTCAGTCCCCAGAGTAAGAAAGAGAGGGAGGCCAGGGGAGGAGCGGGCGGGAGGTGGGAAAGCCGGTCCATGGAGGCCGCGTGGGGGTTGGAAGTGCCCAGGCTTAGGGCTGGGCCTGTCCTCTAAAAGAGGGGTGGGGAGTCCCTCTTGGAGCAGGTCCCCGGGCTCACAGGGGTCGGGTGGGGTCGTTCGGAAGCCCTCCAGGGCCCAGGCTGCACAGCCCGGGACCTCTCGGCATCCCCCTTTGTCCTTCTTGAACTTCTCGGATGTTTTCCTTTGTTTCATTTGACAGTGAACCGAGCCAAGTTTCCTGGGCACCTACTGTGTGCCAAGCCTGTCCTGGGTGCAGGGAATTCAGCACAGGAGGGATTCACAGGCCAGCGGGTGTGGGGGCGGCAAGTTGTGCAGACAAGGGTAGGCGGGGTGGTTTTAGATAGGGGCCAGGGAGTCCCCTCTGTGAAGGTGACAGGCAAGTCGACACTCGGGTGTGGAGGGGAGCCAGGTGGACCTGTGGGAAGAAGATCCGAGGTCCAGGCCCAAGATCCCAGGGCTTGGGCAGGCGCTAGCTGTAGAGGTTGGCTGGACTCTGGGTGCCGGGAGCTCAGGCTGCAGTGGATACCCGTACCGTGAGGGACCGAGGCAGCGAGTGGTTGGAGGCCCGAGAAGAGAGCAGAGGCTGAGGGGAGCAGGCAGGAGGTGGCACAGCCCGTTCTGGGCTGCTGTGGCCCCACTGGGGAGAGACCGGGCCACCTGGCTGCAGAGCGCCCCAGAGCTCCAGCCCAGGCACAGCAGGGAGCAGGCAG